GCCAGTGACCGAGCGAGCACCTGGCTGCGCCCCACAGCCTCCGGCCAAGCGGGTACTGCTGATACAAACGACTTCTTGAAAGTAGAAATAAGCTGCAGCTTGGGTCACCAGCGTTCAGGCGTGTGAAACCAGCGCTTTGCTGGCTATTTCTGCATCTGATTTTGGCCCACGGCAAGCAGGGCCCAAGCACAGGTAGCCCCCGAGGGAAGGGAGCTCACCTGGGCGTTGTTTGCTGTGGGCTCGCTGCGTGCCCAGATGGCGTGTCCTGCCTGGCCCGGGCAGCGGCAGGGGGTGGTTTGTGTGAGGGCTCACGAGAAACTCCCCCGTTGGGCTCTAGACCTTGTTCCTTTGCCAAATCCATGAGGCCGCTGAATTTGCAGAGTTTGGCTCTTTACGTGCAACTGCAAACTCTAGACAAACCAGCAACAATGTTCTTAAAGCAAAGGGTACGACCAGTTCTGATGCAGCAGCTTCTTCCCTCCTCTTCTGCCACTGCCTAGGCGTGGGGGCTTGTTGTGGATGCAGTTAAATCACCAGTTAAATCACCCAGGAGCCTGCCAGGCTCCCTGAGCCCACTGGCTCCCTCCTTGCCTCACTCTGGGACAGTGGCTGGGGCCAACACACCCCAGTTCTGCAAACGGGACCCAGCCACAGCACTGTTTGTGTTTACTTCTATATTTTGAGGCCTGAAGTTCCTGTCTGGGGAAAAAATGGTTCTGTAAGGGACTCAGTGGAGTGCTGGTTTTGCAGAGGGCTGTGAGGCTGCTGGGTCCTGCGGGTTCGGTGCCCATGCTGGGTCAGCAGCCCCTCGTACCCTGCTGGGCTTGTAGCCTCCTAGAAAGTTTTATTGCTCTGTTTGTGCAACCTCTCATGCTGCAGTAGGTGGGGTTTTTTATGGTCTGGCTGTGTCGTGACTCTTGCATCTGCTGGCCCCTGCTGCTTTTTGCAGGACCTGGCCGCAGGAGATGTGACTTACCGGCTGCACAAGTGTCGGAAATCACTCGCTCTTCCTGAAAATGCTGGCCAAAAGAAATCTTTCCCCCTGCCATGGGTGCTCATGCTTTTAATTTCCAGCATGGGCACTGTGGGGAGCAGAGAGGTGTTTCCCGCTCCAGCAGCAGTGTGTGAAGCACCTGGGTACCAAAAGCCCTCACCGGGGGTATGATGCCACCACCCCTGGCACTTTGCGGTTCTCGGCATGGCCACAGAGACCCCTGGCAGGGTCTGCAGCTCATCTTGTAAGGATGACACGGTACCTTTGCAAGTCGGTGGGGAGAAACACTGATTTTATTTTAAAAAAAAAAAAAAAAAAGGCAACCTCTGCCATTTCCAGGCCTTGTTTCTATGGGAACAGGACATCAGAAGAGCAGAAATGCGGTGAGTGCTCTAAAATAACTGCCAGCTCCTGGGAGCACGTGGCCTTTGCTCGGCTTGCCTGGCCCTTTCCGCTGAGATGGCATCCGGGAACGGCTGGCTCCCGGTGGCGAGGTGGCATGGAAGTGGGTCAGGAGGTGGGATGCCGTGGCCTTGATCCCTGCCGATTCTCAGCCTGTCCTCATCTGAATCCACTGGCAGGGGGGTTCCGGTCCAGGCTGGCAGGCGGCCCCGGCGCCCCCTTATTCCGCCAGGCAGCGTGGCAGGGGCTGGTGGTGCCGGCCAGGTGGCAAGGACCTGTCTGGCTTCCGCCTGTCTGGGCTGCGGGCAGGCAGGCAGGAGGTTCTCCTTCCTCACTGACCTCCCTGGGGATGGCCAGGGCAAATCTGCGCTCATATATTTAGGAGACTCTTCCTCCTGCCATGGTCGGGTGTGGACAGCAGGGTATTTCCAGTGAGGGAGAGAGGAACTAGGTTGTTTTCCCCAAAGCTGGTGGTGGTCATCTCTCTCTTCCCCCAGGTCTTTGTCTGTGCCTCTTCTCGCAGCGTGTAGTGCTGAGGTCAGGCAGGAGAATATCTCCAGAGGGCACAACCTGACCTGCTGCCATTCGAGTAGGCAAGTGCATCGCAGGGTATCCTCCTGCAAGGTACGAGCTGTGCCTCTGAGGCTGTCTGGAACCGGCTTTGGCTCCTTTCCTGTCAAAGGTGGTCCTGGACGCAGGCAGGGGGGCAGATGGGGCCCCTGCCTGAGGTCATGGGCATCTCAGGGCTGATCCAGGCAGCACCTTCTAAAAAAGATTTTTCCCTTCTGCACCGAAAAAAATCATTTCTGTGGATGCCCAGAGAACTAGAAAGCCTTTTTTGCTCTCAAATCTTGTAAGAGTAGCCTTGTTGTAACTGAGCTTCTTCCTTCTCTCGTTCTCCAGTGAGCAAAAGGTCCAGTACAGGTTTTCTTGGGACCCTAAAAAGCTTGGAAAAAATTTATTGGCAATAATGAAGTTTTCCACCTTTGCGTAGTGTTTGTGTTACCCAAGAGCTGCTTGACATTTTCTCAGCGATGTACCAGCCCCGATGGCAGCTGTAAGACCTGTGTGGGCAGTCGGGGGGGGTCCAGCTTGCGTTTGAGGGTGCGGCAGGGCAAGCAGCCAGGAGACACGCGGGAGCAGGAGGTGGGATCTCTGCAAGGGCAGTAGCCTTCTCCAGCCTGACCTGTTGCATTTCTTGTCTTTAAAATGAGCAAAAAAGTTTGATTTCCTTGATTTGCTCTGGATTCCCTTCAAGCGAGTGTGGGAGGAAGGTTTCTGCTCCTGGGAGGCTTGTTTGGAGGTGTGTTGGATCCTGCTGTATGCGGTATGTGGGTGCGTGGGGCTGGGGAAGTCCCACCTTTGCCTATGGCAGATGGGTGGCATTTCTGCCAGGGCACATGCGGACCAGAGGCCAGCTGGACACACGGCACTTCGTGATGAGCTTGAAGGTGTTTAAGCTGAAAGCTGGCTGCAGCTGCCTTTGCAAAGTCCCTTTTCCTGTTTCTTCCCTGTTTGCTCCCCGGTGGGGGTGTCTGATTGGCTTTTCTGGGGTGTCCGACGGGCTTTTCAGGGCTGCAGGGGTGGACCTCTTCTGTTTTTTTTTTCTGGGTCCCAGAGCAGGATGCTTGAGCACAGATGTCTCTTGCTGTTGCAGGAATCTGATTTCTGCATGTGGAGTGGCAAAAAGAAGGTGTTTTTTTTGCTCTGAGAATGCACCTGGGTTTTGGTTTGGGGATAGAAAGGTGTGTGCCAAGCCAGGAGGACACTTCTGGAGAACTCAAGGAAGTAGTTGCGTAGGGCAGGCTGGGTAGATGGATGTTTGTTGCTTTGTCCGCAGGCCTATGTGGTTTTTAGCTTGCTCTCACTGCAGCTCAGTTGCTCCCAGCTGTCGGTGCTCTGCTCGCAAGGTGCATTTACCAGTCACCAGTCCGGGAGCGAAGGTTGGGCAGGCTGGGTCACCAGCCTCCCCTTTCCCCTCGCTGTGGCACCCTAAACTCCTTGTTGAGGTTGGTGGGTGCCAGCTGGGTCCAAGGAGCTGATGCCATCCCAACCGGAACTGGAGAATGTGCTGTTGAGCATCTCCCAGGGCGATGCTGGTAGGTAATGTGTCTGTCCTTGTCTCTGCAGAGGCTTTCAGTGCTGCCAGGGTCTGGAGCACAGGCTCTCAGAGATGAACCTGGCAGCTGCCTGCTCGTGGAGGATGCGGCAGGGCCGATGGGCACTGCTGTGGCCCAGGTTGGCCCCGTTGCTGTGGGAAGAGGGGTTTTGCTGTGCTTGGAGGCTGAGGGGCTGCTCAGCTGGAGGCTGCCCTGCATCCAGCAGCGTGCGCAGGCTGCTCTGCTTGTGCCAGGGCTGCCCCGTCTCTGTGCCATGCTGCTGGGCAACTTGCTGCAAGCATGTCTGTGGTGGGATAGCAATGCTTCATCAGGAAATGCTGCTGCAAATGGAGACAAAAACAACTTGGAGGGATGGCAGATGCTTCCTAAAAGAGGGGGAGGATGTGAGTGTATCATCCTCGAGTGTATTGTCCCCGAGCACTGACCTTCCCTTCCACTTCCCTGCCCTTTTCTCATCCTTGCCTCTCCAAGGAGAGTTTCTGCTGGGAAAGCACTGTTAACATTGCAAACCTAACCCTTCACGTTGCAGGAGGCAGAGGCGCAACTTGAAATCTTCACCAGTCCCGAAATAATGGGCTGCAAGGAGTTTGGTGGCCTTACTTGGGCTGGTGTTTGCAGTTCTGTGACCTGGTGCTCCCACTGCTTAAGGAAAGCTGTTCCCTGCCTGCTGCTGGGTGAAGGACCACTGGTGCTTGTGGGCTGAGTTTCTAAACAGCGGCCTTGCTCTTTTGCAGCTCAGGTTATGCTGACAACTGGGAACGAGTCGCTCCGGAAACCATGAGCTCTGGCTCTTACTGGTCAGTAATGACCCTTGGAGAGGGAGTCTGACAGTTATTTTGTCCCTTTTGAGGCCGAGCCAGCTGTTGTAACATCAGACTGGAAACAGAGAGCTGCTCTTGGGTTGCCAATGGGTGGGATGGGGATGCTGCCCTCCTGCCACCCACGTCTGCGAGCGCCTGGCATTCATGGCTCTCTCCTTTCTTCCAGGGTCCTGCGGAGCGGTGGCAGTGGTCCCCTTCTGATGGGAGGATGGTTGTTCTCAGGCAGTTTGGGCTGCTGCTCTGGAAGAACTACATCCTGCAGGTAGGCTGGCACTATGCTCTCGAGGGGCTGCCTCTGTCATCCCTAAATGTGGGTACATCAGAGCTTGCCTAGGGTCTTGATTCTCCAGCAAACCTTCACCATGGGCCCAAGGCATTTCCTGGAGAAAAACAGATCTGTTTGTGCATGTGGTGTCATCCTGCTTCTGTGCCGGGGAGAGGTGGGCAGGGCTGCATGCTAAGTTGTCCCTGTCCCCTTGAGTCCACGCTGTGCCATTCCCGTCCTTTTGCAGTCCAGCCATGACTTCAGCTCCCCCTTCTCACAGGGCAGGATGACACAGGCACCCTCCTGTGCAAAGGTGGGTTCCTTGAGCTGTCTTGTTAACACAGGCTCCTCTGGAGGTGGTGATTGCTGCATGATGCCTACAAACCCAGCAGGGCCCAGATTTTTTTTCCTCCATTACTTTCTATAAGCCCTCAGAAGCAGCTTTTGGGGTCTTAAAAAATTAAACTACCGTTTTCCTGGCATCTGCTCCCAGCCCAACTCCCTGTGTGGCAGCTGGCTAATGATGAGGGATTTCAGGACCTTGGGGCCTCCTTGCCCTGCTGACCGGCAGCATCTCGCCTGCTGCTGCAGCGCCTTTAAGCAGCGTGCAGGCGCTCCTGGGCGGAAGCTGTGGCTCCCCTGGGACCCAGAGCTGGCCCTGGCAGAGGGCGGCGGAAGAGGAGGGAGCAGAGATTGCTGCAGCCTGGCTTTACGCTTTCAATTACCCTTCTGTAGATCAACATGATGTTGCTTTAAAAATAAACAAAAGGAAGGGCTGGCTGGGCTGCCTGTGCCCGGCCTTCCAGCAGAGCAGGGAGCAGGCAGCCAGGCTCAGATGTGACCAAAGGGACTGGCAGCAGGTCTGATTTGCAGTCAGGAGTGTTCTCCATGGGTGTGCGTGATGGCCAGCCCTGTGAATCCCCCCTTGTAACACCCCAGATGTGTGTAGGACAATCCCCCATCCCCTCTGCAGGGGAATAACAGCATCTTCTGGATGTACTCTGGGGCGGGGGCACCTCTTGTGTTTTCTGAGGCCACAAGCTATCTTGGATCTACTGTGTCAGAATATGACCTAGAGTCTTTGCTCCCCTCCACCAAAAAAATGTGCTCCTGATGAAGACACAGTGCTCCCAAGCCATCATCACCCCAGTGTGAAGATGGATGCTGGGACATGTGGCTTGCTCAAAGCCAGGGCAGCCCTGGGCAGGCAGAGGTAGTGATTACAGATGAGTATCCCCGTCACCTCTGGAAGACGGCAGCTTAAATGACTTCTGCGGCACTGAAAGCCTGCACTGGTAAATGTGTTTTGGCCTGTGAGTTTGGGGAGCCAGGCAACTGTTCTGGAGACAGCCCAGGAGACTGAGAGGGGGTTAATACAATAGTAAATCAGTGGGAGGCAGCTGGTTCGCCAGAGCTGCATTATAAAACCATCAGACATCTGCAACATTTGCTTTTATGAGTGTGGCCTTTGGAAAGGCTCTTTTTTCCCTGCCTGCTCAGAGCCGCCGCCTCCTGGCCACGCTGCCGGGGCTGGCTGCAGCAGTGGCTCGTCCCTGGCTGTGGTTGGAGCGGGCAACTCCTCCCAGTAGAAGTCCAGAGAGGGTTTTTTGGCTTCGACAATGGGTGCTGAGAGCCAGGGCGACACAGGGAGCGGCTGCGTGGCCGTGCCTGTGTGCTCCCTCCTGGCAAACTGGCCAAGAGCCAATTCATCCCAGCTGCTGCAGGGCGGACTGTCCCTTTTCCCAGGATGTCTGAGCTGGTCTGTACTCAGGGCTGTGTTTCTGCCCCACCAGAGACTCTGCCCACTTTAGCGTGCCCCACTTGCTGCTTCCCCCGCCCCCATTTAAAAAATAAACCCTTTTTCCAGTCTGCAGAGGGACGGGAGGTGTAACTCCATGGTCAGTGCAGCTCAATGCTTGGTGTTTGCAGAGCTTAAGGAGCTTCCAGGGCAGCCGGGGTGCTGCCTCCGGCACATGGTCAGTGCAGACAGGAGAGCAGGCAGGTGAGGAGCCCTGACATGGGCTGAGCCATACCCTGCCTGCAGCGTGCTCACCCTGCATGTGCACCCGCTGTCTGCGGGCATGTTTTTTACAGCACCGCAGCCCATTGCTGCGCCCTGCTGTGGTCCAGGCCGTGGCACTGCTGTGCCAGCAGCCATGGGGCCAGGCAGGAGACAGTTTAACAACACTGAGTGTGCAGAGATGTCAGGGAGGGGCTGTGCCATTGGATAAAAAACAATTGCTGAGACTATTCTCACAATTGTGAGAATAAACCTTTTGGTGCTCTTATACATTGTGGTGGGGTTCTTTCCACAC